CCTGTTTAATATGAAATCAGGGTCACGTCTTCTTACAACAAGCAGGAAGCAGCAAGGCTAATCCTGTGTGACTGAAGAGAAGATTGTGATGCTTCATTGACCACATTTAAGAAATAGTGCACAATGACTTAATTATTCATTTGGTGTTAAATATTTTCAGTTACCTAAAAGCCGGCAACATTCAGGAAACATTAGAAGCAACACTCTCAAACTTTTGGCAGAATCTGGCTTTTTGGTGTTGAATTAGAATCATCTGAGCTCCTTCCTCAGCCAGTGGATCCAACTACAATGAATATCAACATCGCCTACTCATTTGTTTTCCTCTTGACAGTGAGGAATGACGGCGTGTCCAGATACCGACAGTCCCATCTGTCAAGCGCAATTTAAACATGCTGTGCTACTGAGAAAAACTGATATATTGATGTATGAACTCACCTGCACTTGGAGCTGCTGTTCAGACCCTTGATGCACAGACAGATGAGGTGCAATCTCTGCTGAGGTCACCTGTACCTGTTATAGATCATGTAAATGGTAAATGATCTGAACCTTTATAGCGCTTTTCTACCTTAGCAGCACTCAAAGCGCTTTACAAAGTTTTCTCATTCACCCGTTCACACACACATTCTTGCATAGAGCTGCCATGCAAGGTGCTGCCTGCCATTGGAGGCAGCTTTGGGTTCAGTGTCTTGCTCCAGGACACTTCAACTGTGGAGGGGCCGGAGATTGAACCACCAACCTTACGGAGGTAGAGGACAACCTGAGCCACATACATGAAGCACAGAAGATTGCACCACACCAGACAACAAGTCAAAAAAACATTATAAAATGGTGTTACCGGGCAGGCCAGCTCCAGGAGCGACCCGGCCACCTCAGTGCTGTCTGTGTAGACACAGTTGGCCCCCTGCTGCTGGTACACCATGGCTGTGGTGGTGGCGGCGGCGGCCCCTCCCTGCTGGCTGAACTCCTGCAGCACCTCTGGGCCCTTGGCAAGAGACTCCAGGAACTCCTTCATCCTGTGTTGAGGCACAGTGCGGGCCTTCTGCCGCACATATTCATCAAAGGAGACCACCCCACTCTCCTGCTCATTCATCGTCACTGGACCTGGAATTATGACAGTTTATGAAAACCCTGAACACATCATTAAATCCTGACAAGCTCACATTAAAATGCAGTGATTGAGGACACCTAGAATGAAGTCTACTCTAATGAAGGGTAGCGTTTTACTTTTACATCTACACCTTTGTAAGCAACGCAGCAAGCTAAATAACAGAATTTAAAACCCTAATCGTTGAATAGGAGATCTTAGAATAACGTGGGAAGCGATGAAGTGCATTTTGCCTTGGGGCTAATGCAACGGCTTCAATCAACTTTTTCTGTTAACTTCAACATTACAGACCCAGATTAGCTCTTAGCTAAGCCTAAATGTGTACTATGGGAGCCACTTTCGGTTAAATGTTTGTGGAGCCACTAGCCAGGGCACCGACAATATGTTTGCCAGACTATGTGTGCGGACTGTCTATTAATAGTGTCTACGTTACAGCTAGCTGTTAGCATGCTAGCGTCACAACGTTAGCAAGGCGCTATTTTCTCCCAGCCCGTATGGATACTAGGCTGGCTAGCAACCGCTGGCTGTATTTGACATCGCTGAATACCAAACACGTGTCTACTGTTAATTACTCAATTAGGCTACACAGTTTGCCCCGTAAGATAAGCTAGCTAACATTAAAGCGACACCCCATTCATTGCAATAACACGACGCTAGCTAAGCACTGCGCTAACGCTAGCTAGCTAGCTCGAAGGCTGTGGATCCTGTCATGCTACCTTAAATAAAACGAAATCCTCTCCTTTCCGCCAAGGCACGGTGTTTAAAACTAAAAAGCCGATAAACGTCTAACAGCTACCACCAGCATGCCATTCACCGGGCTACATAGTGCGACTATCCGCAGAGTAATCCCGCAAACAATGCCGTGATTAGACTGCGATAAAATTTAACGGCAGCGGCAGCAGCGGCGGCGAGCAGGCGAAGTCTCTGACGTCTGCTTGTTTCAGGGTGAACTGCAGGCTGCCGTCGGTGGAAAACAAGTTCCCACCTCCAGCGAAGCACAGATTCATTTATCTTGCGAAATCTTACGTAGTATTTCTACCACCCGAAACACTCACATGCAACCCGCCGTTTATCCTGAGAGATATAACATCACGGAAGTAAAGGCCCAGCAGACAGCGCGGCTCCGCTCCAGACGGCTGACAAGAGGCCGAGCCGAGCCGAGCCGAGCTGCTGTGGACTGGAGCTGCCATCCTGGGACCAGCAGCAGTATGTGGTCCTGCAAAACTGTGAAAAACAATCATATTTAGGCAACACATGCAGCCACAAAAGCACAGTTCAGGGTACAGTGTGTCACAATAATGACTGCAAAAAAAAAAAAAGTTCAAATGTGTGAGTGTAAGATAATCAAACTTTGATTCATTTTGGGCCAATTGAAACAATCTGTACATAAAATACATAAATATATATCTAAATTTTTGCTTACTGACAAACTGTAAATGATCAATGTGAGAATATTTACTCCTATATAGTGAATATGCAGCACATTCCCACATAGAGAACTATTGTGCTTATATATATGTTATACTGATGAGTACACATTCATTCAGCATTTTAGATGAAAAACTGATGTATTTATGCAGCATAGCTCTCATTTTGCAAACAAATCTATCTTTATTTTATATCAAATTTATTTTATATTGATAAATAACATCTAAGTATTTAAACTAGTTCAGTGAACACCAATCTTATTTCTGTACTGGCAAGCACTTTGGCTCAATAGCTGCTGTTTTAAATGTCCTGTATAACTAACAGTGACTTCACAGCTGGTCATTTCACCCTTTTATTATCTTTTTTTTGCTACTATATCATTATATGTGTGAGTGTGCACCACAGACCCCTGGAGAACAAGCTGAATAGTCTAAACTGGACTCATACACGTGCATGAGCTGATGCAGTGTTATATGCTTTCCAGGATGGTTCTGGTGAAGCCTGGTCAACATTTGAACGCATGTGCCTTTAACAAAATCTAACTTCCCCAGTCTGCCTTAAAGAGCCAGGCATGTGCTGCTGAGGGCCTCCCCCTGTTCTCTCCACAACAAACTGCCTCTTGCCCTTCTTAAGGTGGACCAAGACAGATGCGCTGCGTGCATAGGCTGCGCCCTCTGCACACTGGATAGGAAAGAGTTAATTCCCACACTCAGTGCAGACTGTCTGTAAATTCTGCAAGGGTTCTCTGGTGGATGTGATGGTGATACTTATACAGTATATGTTTATTTTTCTTCTTTAATAACATTGTTTACACACCAGCAATAGCGTGAACCCTGCAGTGATTCATGTTAGCAGTGAGGAACACTGTAATTTAAAGCAACTTGTTCATGTGTCAGGTCAAGTTTGACATTGCATATGCATGCTTCCCTAAATAATAGGCCACTAAGTTGGCACGACACGACTTACTGGCCCGTGCTCGTGTCTGTTTGGCTTCACATTATCAGTTCATGTGACTCCGTGCCACTCTAAGAATCTTAATGTAATCCTTTGGAGAAGGGATTTACCTCAAAACAGCTGTTGTAGGAAGCGGCAGGTGAGGCGTGCAGGCTTCTATTGATTGTCAATTATTTGCAGAATTGCTTAGCTTTTGTAGATGTTCACATATAAAGAAATAACTAGAAAATGATTTATTCAAACGCTTTATCTTTTTTAAAGAAATGCTCTTTGGTATGCAGGTCCTGCTCTTTGCTTCTACAGGTCAGATTGTGATGGAAGGCTGCCAAGTAACCAGCCGGTGCAGTAATAGGAATAAGACGTCAGCTTGGAGGTTAAATGGCTGAGAGCGCGTCTGTAAATTCATTATGTTCAACCCTAACTGTTTATGCAGCACATTAGACCTCGGATGCTACACGCACTTCTCCTGGAGATGCAGTGGAGCCCATGATGCACTAAAAGGAAGCAGAACATACGCAATCACAGGTACATCTGACTTTTTATGTTTTATTGTCTGCAGGATGGGTTATTTTGGCAGCTCAATAATGTGTTTCAGCCCACGAATAACCTGCTGAAGCTCCAGGCTTTTGTACGTGTGTTTGACTAAACGACAGCAGATTGTTGTATTCATTTGAACTCACCTGAGGTTGCGTGTGGGAACTCATGTTACCTGTTTCTGTCATGCTGAAAATAATATTATGTATGCTACTTGTGTCCTACTGTATATTTTAATCACTAGTCATGTACGAATTCAATTTCTTGGCCTAATTTGCATATCACTGAAGTGGCAGCTTGACAGCTGTGACCCAAAGGACACCAGCTCCTGTTGTGAATTTTCTTGTTTTTGCCGCGCTGTGTTGTATTTGTGCTGAAGCAAACCGTCCGCAGATGTTGTGGAGTGCACAAATCCTCTGGACTACTCAGGGGAATTGTTGTCCTTTATAGGTTGAAACACATGATTAATTAACTGTGAATCTCTGTGACTCCTAACCTCTACCTAAACTCCAAAGTCTTCCGACTAACATAGTTTTCCTGATTATGCAAAATAGGATACCGTAAAAGCTTCATATTATTATTTTTTTGCACGGACTGTGGGTTTTGTGTCCCACGACTTACACTGAAAAGACACTGGGACGGCATCTTTTATTGCTTGCTGTAAACAGGTCGAAAAAAAATGATTAAAAACAGCTTTGAAGTTCTTCAGGTGATGATGGCTTAAAAACAGGTTTGAAAAATTGGGAAGCTGCCCTTTAATGTCAAACAGTCACCTGTAAAGACACTGCAAAACATTTCATGAAGACCAACACATTTTAACTCTTCCTCTCTTTCTTCTTTGTTGTTCTTGTAGATTTTGGAATTTCACTTCAGGTGTCCAAAAATGGGGCGCTCCTCTTTGCTCTTCATCACTCTAACCATGTCTCTGTCTTCACTCGGACGCCTCATTCAAACGTCAAACTCAACGAATTCAACCCATATGACTGAAAGCTCAGGGAGAAACAACAGCGGTCTGGACATCCCAGCCAGCGAAGTCATCTTTCATTCAGAGAGCTCTGAGGAGGGCAGCGGACACGGTGCAGACACTGCAGCAGCACAGGGACTCGTCAATAAGACTATCACTCCAGAGGAGCCAGAGAGAGCGAGCAGCGAAAACCCTTCTGGGTCTGGGATCACATTAACTACAAGACCAGGACCTACTCTACACCACTCAGGGGCTCATGAGCAAGGAGCTGACAAAGCCAATTCTTCAATTACAGGCTACAGTCACTCCAGTGTACACAGACTCTCAGAGGAAGCTCTCTTGGACGACGGCCACATTACAAATGAGGAACAGTTAAAAAAGAGTCCCAGAGTAAATGATGACTCTCTGTCTGGTGAGTAAACTTGTGATATTTGACTCAAGTACAACAATGTCTATGTCTCTGTTCTTTCTCTTTTTTTAAATATACTGAATATGTTCAATCAATTTCTGATACACCCATGAAATGTCCCAATGAGATGCAATATAAAAAAAAGGATTTGCACCATACATTTTTGTTCAAATGTATATTTTTAAAATGTATTGAAACTAAAGTAAGCACAAGTTACTGACATTGTTGGTGCAGTTGTTGGTCTAGTGCACTTATTTACAAGCCCGTGTGCGTAAAATCTTGTAAATGTTCAAGTCTAGAAGGACATATTGGAACAGACTGGCTGCCATGTCCACTTTGTAAACGGGGCTGACTGAAGGACAGTGGCTTGTCAGGGATTAGATGAGAGCTAATGGTAAAGTCTAAAGTAGGTCAAAAAGCCCAATCAAATTCTCCTGCGTCAAAAACACAACCTTTTCTCTCTGTTTCAGGTGGAGACAGCCCCAAGCTCCCTGTCCAAACCAGTGTGTTTACTTACATGCCAAATGACAACGTGCCAGGGCCTGGAGGTCCCTGTGTGCTTGGTGTCCGACCATGTGTTGTTCTTAAAAACTTCAACGGCACCAGTCTGCTCTGGGATGACATGAGGCGCACGCTGGCGTTTGCCTGGGAACTGCACGTCTTTGGATCGGCCAGCCTTTTCACACTGATGGCGCTCCTGGCAGTTCTGGGGATGGCTGGAGCGTGCACTCTTCCTCACCCCCTCTGTGACGCTCTGACCCTGGCAAACAGCTTTCTAATCATGGGTGGTTCTTTGCGTACTGTCCTCCTTCTGCTTGATCCCTATGGTACCCGTCAGATCCTGTCTCATGCCACTCTGACTGCACTACATAATGCTCCCATGCAGCTTCTTCTGTGGGCGCAGGTTGTTCTCGCGCTGGTCACACTCAGAGGGTTTAAGTTGCTGCTTCTCCCGTTAAAGCTGCAGCGCCCGTGGATTGTTGGAGTGCTCGCTATAGCCCAGTGCATTGCATTACTCGTAGCAGACCTATACTCTTCAACTTTATCCCCTGCTCTCCCTCTTTTGCTGCAGACCCTCTCCCTCGGCTGGGGCCTCCCATTCTGTTTGGGGATCCTCATTAAGTCCCTCTCCCCTCTACCTCCCTTTCTCCGGTCCTCTATACCACAGTGGTTTCCCTCACAGAAGACCGAGAGGCGTGGAAAGCGACTAACAGCAGTGTGTGCCTTCCTTGCAGTGCTGTGCTGCAGCCTTCAGATGTACAGTCTCTTCTGGCTTTATGGGCTGCTGGGGAACTGGAGGCGCTTCGGCTGGGGCTGGTGGCTCAGTCAGTTCTGGGCCAGAATCCTTGAGATAGCTTGGGGATTCTCTTTACTTGTCCTTGGATCTTGGATCTTCTGGACACCATTTAGGGGTCATTCAAGGGGCGATCATGGGCAGGGCAGAAGTGAGGTGTCTAAGAGGGTGGAGAAGAAAAGCTTGTGGGGCAGACTCTTGGCCAGCGTACGAAAAGGCCCTCTGAGAAAATCTGAGAAAACCTGGGAGGACCTGATACCAAATAACTGGGCAAAGTATAACCTGTCCAGATCAGGTATCAGCAACAACGCAATGTGCCCATATGATGATCCACCAACAGCCGTTATAGCAGAATACAAACCTGATCCTCTCAGCAGCAGCAGCTCTGACACTCAGGCTGCACTGCTGTGGCAAAAAGTTGGTGAACGCGAATGTATTCTTTCACTCATTGAATTTGACATGCGGCCCCCATCTCCTATTAACCTCCGGCGCAGCATTGACAACGCGCTTCATCATGGGCAGCTCGTAGCAGGAGGTCTGTTCACACCTCCGCCCCCTTCCTGGACTCACAGTATGAGCACAGACTCCAATGATGCAGACAGCGGTACAACAACATTCCCTCCAGCTTACGTCAGCTACGGGTGGATGCTGGATACGGAGTCTATTTCTGCATCTCTGGACCATTTCCAAGCCAAAGAACCAGCACAGTCGCCCAGTGCTACAGCTGATTATAATGGCAGCATTGGGTCTCCAGCTGCTGCACGTCACGAAGAGGAATTCTCAGCAGTGATGCATCAGCATGACTGGTCTGAGGACGATGTCACAGACCTCTAAGCTATTGTTGATGTCAGGATTACCCATACTAACTTCCAACACCAACTCGTCTAGACTTCATGAAATGACACAGTCATGTAATGAGGACTGTAATGCCTAATGCTTTCAGGACATGGCCTCTACCAAGCAAAAACTGTTAAACCTTCTAATGTTGACATGAAAGGGACCCTGTTTCAAGTATTCAGCCCATAAGTCCTCATGCTAGTCAGTATCTGCATTGTTTTTATATGCTGTGTATATTTTGGGGAACATAATGTTTAATTGATGTTCATTGGGTCAAATGGCAGGAGCAAGGGGCAAGTGGTAACTTCTAGTGGATAATATCCATGATGATTGGGTTTTACTATGTTCGTTTCTATATGCCAGTGTTATTTGTGTATGTAGAACTGACAGGTTTTCAATCAGTATGTTTAATATTCCAGTTATGTGAGTCAACATCATCTCTCTTCCTTTTGCATCAGATCAGTGTTTTTACTGTCTTGTTTTTAAATTACATGTAAATAAAGTGACTTTTTATGAATTCTATGCAACTTTTCTGGAGCCCAAATGTGAATGAATGAATCTTTTAACCCTATTCTGGACTTTCGGGGTCTTTTGGTTTAGGAGACAGGTATTGCTTTGTTTTGTTTTGTTTTTTTAATTTTTGAAGATATCTTTTTAAATATAAAAAGAGGGACATTTGTCATGCTTTTGGTACCAAAAATACGGCAACTTATCAGAAAATTTATTTAACATAGTATAAAAGTCTATAATGAATACCAACAAATATTTTGCACATATTCTTTCTTGGGACCCCGAAAGACCTTCTACATATGGAAACATGAAAGTCCTGGATAGGGTTAAATGTTCGGCTTTCATTCATTATCAAAGTTTTACAGTGTTTTAATCATGTTTGATTTGTGACTTGTATCAAAATTAGACATATTCATCTTGCTTCATGTATGAGAACATCAGCCTGAGTATTTGCTTGTCATCACTCGGTTCTTCTCGTTTTCTCATATTCACTATGCACCTTCTCTATTTGGCAGGAGCATTAACTGATGTCCTGTTAGTTGATAACAGTTGGGTCTGTGCTATTTCCTTTGATTTTAATATAAAACCTGCAGCATCTCACAGCAGCAGAAAAAAAACAGGGCTTCTTTAGAATGCGCATTTACGCATTTGGCACAGTAGCGGTAATTTCACGTACACAGGATCTGACGTCAAAATACGCACCGTGTTCTTCTACACATCCGACATATCAGCTGCTCCTCACAGATCCCAGGTTTACACGGTGGAGTTACTTGCATTACAGCTTCTCTGGATGAATCCTGAGTTCCATCATTACGCACAAAGTACATTTCAGAGTTGAATTCTATTCCGGGACTTTGGTTACGGGGGGAGCTCCAGGTCTCCCTACAATGTCTGCCTGAAGATTTCCCCTCTGATCTTCACCCTGAGCTTCATCATCACCGGCCTCTCCCACAACAGGTGCTCTCACCGGCATCGCACATGTTGATTGGTCAATTAAGCAGCACATCAGACTATATGTACGACGATCCGACTCAGTGATGGCTTTCTTAGCTTTACAACAACTTTACAAAAGTACACGCCGAAAATATTCTCAAGCGGTGTGATGCCTTGGAAAAATCAATTATTATATTTCGCATTGACGGCGACTCTCGCGTCCTTCAGACCTTGTGATGGACAAGCTGAGGCTGTGGTGAAATGGCCCGCGTTACAGGCCAGACTTGGCTTGAGCAGTGTGGTGTCTGGAGCAAAACATGGATCTCCAACACGACACGGTTCACTTGCCTTCAGATTAGACCAGCAGAGTTTCCTAAATTCAACCCAAGGTAAGTTTCAGTAATGATCCCCTTGCCTCTCTTATAATGAAATGCTCTGTAGGCACTGTTTGTTTAGTGCCACCGAGGATACCTGCATTACTTGTAGTCAGTATTTTTTTTTAGATTGTTACTTACATTTAAAGGGAGGTAACATGTAGCCCATCACAATAAAACCACTCGGTCTAGAAGTGTTTCAAGACCCATTTTATTTATTTTTTTATATCTATGTGTGTGTATCTGTTAAACATGGATGAAGAGTGTTTTGAGTTTTTATTACCTTGCAATAAAAAGAACACAATGGAAAACACAGCTTACCACATAAACTGGGTAGCAGCACAAAAACAGTGCTGAATGTGTGCATTGCCAGTGAACATATGAGTCTACACTGGTTAATACTGAGTATCAAAACATGTCCTACTGCCTTTAAAAGCCACAGCTGTGGCAAACACATAATATATTGTAATCTGAGTATGACCCAGCTTTGCTATCTTCAACTGAATGCTTTTTGTTTCACTTTGCTTAAAAATCACACTTCACAAAGTAAGTGGCATAACTAAGAAACGACTGAAGCCAAAGAATCCAGTTGATGCCATCAGGTCCAGCTATGAATGCAGGTTTTTCTTCATAAATGAAAGACTTAATAAATGAAGTGCTTTGTGCAATGCATTAAATGCCCTGTCCAGTTTTTAATGACCAGTGAAGCTGTAGAAGAATCTGTTAATAAACCTCTAACATGTAAGCATGGACACACAAGCACAGCACAACCATAGGAATGATGTAATGCACGTCATCCTGTGGGAGATGATGTACAGTTCGGTCTGGAAATATTTGCACAGTGACACAATTTATGTCATTTTGTCTCTGTGCCCGACTACAATAGACCTGAAATGGAACAACCTGACACATAAATTTAAGTGCAGACTTTCAGCTTTAATTGAAGAGGGTGCACAAAAAACAGAAAATCTAACTGTGGAATTGCAGTTCCTTGCTTTCTGGGGACAAATTAACATAATCATGAATAAAATGGTAATTTTTTAATACTCTGACAAGAATCCTTTGCAGTCAGTGACTGTGTGGAACCCGTGGACATCAGCGTCCTTTGAAAGGCTTTGCTGGGCCTTTACTTCAGCCCCCTTCAGTTTTTTATCTGTGAATATTTCCGCCTTTAACTTTGTCTTCAGTAAGTGAAGAGCATTGCAGAATATTCTTCCTCTTTACCTTCAAATCCCCTTGAGTTGAAATGCTGCACTATCAACTGTGCTACACTTGACTGAATCTGAGCAGACAGTATATCATTATACACTTCAGAACACATGCGGCTGCTTTTGCCTTCTTTTATGTAATCAATAACCAGAGAGCAGGTCCTATTTGAAGCCATCAATGCCCTTGTTCATGCTGCCTCCGCTGTGTTTTATAGATGATGTATGCTTTTAAAGATGAGCTGTTCTAAGCCTTTTTCCTCCAGTCTTTCTAGTGCAGGTGGATCTTAGTCTCATCTGTCCAAATAATGCCTTTCCAGAAGTGGGCTTCTGGAGCAGGTTTTTGACAAAGTCTAATCCGGCCTTCCTGTTCTTGAGGATTAGAGAAGGTTTGATCTTGAGGTAGACCTTTTCCTGAACTCGTATGGTAGATTTGGATAATAATAATTCCTCTATAGAGTGTTCTTCACGTGGCTGGATTTTGTTGAGTTTTGTGCAGGCCTTTTTTATGTTCCTGAGCTCACCACTGAGTTCTTTTTTTTTCTCAGAATATACCAATATGTTGACTTCACCACCCATAATGTTCTCTGTCTCCCTGAATTTGTTGTTTTTGCAGCCTAAGGAGGTATTATTTCATTTGCACTGACAGCTTCGTTTTGACTGCACATTGCAGGTTCACAGCAAACACTTCTACATGCAAACACTCCACTTTGAATCAACTCCAGACCTTTTACTTGCTGAACTGATGAAGGAATAATGAGAGATTATTGCACTCCTGCCCATGAAACAGTTGTTAAGTCAAATTACTTCTGGTTCCTTGAATAAGAGGGGGGCACATATTAAAGAACTGTAATTCATATACCCTCCCTCCAATTTGGATGAATACCTTCAAATTAAAGCTGAGAGTCTACACTCCAAGCCCAAGTCATTATGCACCTTGATCATCATTGGTAAAATAGCTAAAATAACAAAAATGTACAGTTGAAACCAGAATTTT